TGTAACACTATTTATTTTCCCATTGATAGGTTCTTTGTGTGGCTTTTTGTTGTGTCTTCCTTGGTTCCATGCTTAAATTTTTCTGTATAGATAGCATATGTAGGTGTACCTAATGGAATATATACCTATGAGTCAAATTGTGAGTTAATACATCTATTTTACTTTACTAAGTTTTCCTAAATTGTTTACAAAGAAGTTGAAACACTTTATACTCCCAGCAGCAGTATATTAGGGTTCGAGGTGCCCTACATCCTTACTAGTATTGAGGATTACCAGATTTTTAAGTTTTCAAAATAGTGTCTCATTGTGATTTTAATTTGTATTTCTCCAATCAGACTAGGTATCTTTTCATAAATTTATAAATCCTTTGTGTTTCCTTATTTTTGAATTACCTGGGTCTTCAACCCAGTTTGGTTGGGTTGCCCTTTTTCTTATTTAGTTGTAGAAATTATTTCTAAATTCTGGATGCTAATTTTTTATCACTTTTGTGAAACAAATATAATTTTGAACTTCTGCTTCTTGATATTTCTTTTCCAGCCTGACTCTGCTTTTCTGGTTGTTTCTCTGCCTAGTTACACACCTAAAACTCCACAAGAGGGCGTGCTCAAAGTTTTAAATTTGTCAAGATTTCCTCTTCTGTTGAAATTATACTGTACTTTCAGTTAAATTAGAGGCCATTTAGTATATCTCTTTTTGTTGTAAAAACTGAGGCCTGTAGATGTAAAGTGTTAAAGCCTGGGGTGGAAAGAGAAAGAACCAGTCTGATATTTTTACTGGTAAGGAAAATCAATGAAGAACCGGCCCTAAACTTAACAACATTGTAGAGCTTGACAACTCTGCACTTGGGTACTTATTTCTTGAACAGAAGGAACTAAATTGATTGGTAATGTTGAAAGTGGAGTTCTGAGGGGAAAACAGACTGACCAATCAGTCAATAGAAACACTCACCAAAACCAAATGGAGTACAGGTTATGTGAAGACAGTTTTTGTCTCAGTGTATGGAAGGATTTTATAAAATTAGTGCTGAGCCAAATGGACTAAGCTCATGCATTTGGGAGCCTCCTATTTACCGATCGTGTTCATGCAGATTGTGAATGAGTGCTAACATTCAGAGTTTCAGGGCTAAGATACATGTAAACATTATCTTGCTTAAGACATTCTCTTTATGGCTGAGGAACCTGAGATCTGGATATTTTGGCCCAGGTAGTTGTGGCTGAGGTGGGCCTGGAATCTAGAGGTTTTCCTTTACACTCGTGTTACTTCTGGCTTGTCCCATTTGTCCTCTCTGGGAGTGGACAGGGAGTCGAGGGAAGTTTAAGAGGGGATCCCTGCATTAGGAAAGGAGAACCTCTCAGATACTTTCTGATTCTGCACCTAGGTTGTTTGATTCTGATTATATTATAACACGATCCCACCTTGGTTCCCCAGCACACTAAGATTACTTTTGTAGCACTTGTCACGATTGCCTTACCATTTACTAACGTGACACTCCCCAGGGTAGTGACTGTGTCCTGTTCATCTCTGTTCCTGGCCCCAGAGTAGGTGCTCAGTAAATATTTTACTTTCAATCCAACGAGCAGGATTCAAAAAAAACATAAAATAAAAAATAAGAAAAATAAATATTTTACCATGTAAATGAATGGTTGCCGTTAGAATAAAAAAAG